CCGCTCCATCTCCATGAAGTCTTCATCCAGCTTGGTCCCTTCCACCCCGCCGATCTTCTCGTTCATAAACTGAAACACAAGACAACACCATTACAACACTGTAGTGGTCTGTTACAACACTGTAGTGGTCTGTTACAACACTGTAGTGGTCTGTTACAACACTGTAGTGGCCTGTTACAACACTGTAGTGGTCTGTTACAACACTGTAGTGGTCTGTTACAACACTGTAGTGGTCTGTTACAACACTGTAGTGGTCTGTTACAACACTGTAGTGGTCTGTTACAACACTGTAGTGGTCTATAACAACACTGTAGTGGTCTATAACAACACTGTAGTGGTCTGTTACAACACTGTTGTGGTCTGTTACAACACTGTAGTGGTCTGTTACAACACTGTAGTGGTCTGTTACAACACTGTAGTGGTCTGTTACAACACTGTAGTGGTCTGTTACAACACTGTAGTGGTCTGTTACAACACTGTAGTGGTCTGTTACAACACTGTATTGGTCTATAACAACACTGTAGTGGTCTGTTACAACACTGTTGTGGTCTGTTACAACACTGTAGTGGTCTGTTACAACACTGTAGTGGTCTGTTACAACACTGTAGTGGTCTGTTACAACACTGTAGTGGTCTGTTACAACACTGTAGTGGTCTGTTACAACACTGTAGTGGTCTGTTACAACACTGTAGTGGTCTATAACAACACTGTATTGGTCTATAACAACACTGTAGTGGTCTGTTACAACACTGTTGTGGTCTGTTACAACACTGTAGTGGTCTGTTACAACACTGTAGTGGTCTATTACAACACTGTAGTGGTCTATAACAACACTGTATTGGTCTATAACAACACTGTATTGGTCTATAACAACACTGTAGTGGTCTATTACAACACTGTAGTGGTCTATTACAACACTGTAGTGGTCTATAACAACACTGTATTGGTCTATAACAACACTGTATTGGTCTATAACAACACTGTAGTGGTCTATTACAACACTGTAGTGGTCTATAACAACACTGTATTGGTCTATAACAACACTGTAGTGGTCTATTACAACACTGTAGTGGTCTATTACAACACTGTAGTGGTCTATAACAACACTGTAGTGGTCTATAACAACACTGTAGTGGTCTATAACAACACTGTAGTGGTCTATAACAACACTGTAGTGGTCTGTTACAACACTGTAGTGGTCTATAACAACACTGTAGTGGTCTATAACAACACTGTAGTGGTCTATAACAACACTGTAGTGGTCTATTACAACACTGTAGTGGTCTATAACAACACTGTAGTGGTCTGTTACAACACTGTAGTGGTCTATAACAACACTGTAGTGGTCTGTTACAACACTGTAGTGGTCTATAACAACACTGTAGTGGTCTATAACAACACTGTAGTGGTCTATAACAACACTGTAGTGGTCTATTACAACACTGTAGTGGTCTATAACAACACTGTAGTGGTCTATAACAACACTGTAGTGGTCTATAACAACACTGTAGTGGTCTATTACAACACTGTAGTGGTCTATTACAACACTGTAGTGGTCTATAACAACACTGTAGTGGTCTATAACAACACTGTAGTGGTCTATAACAACACTGTAGTGGTCTATAACAACCTGACACACCTTAACTACCACCACTATAGTGCCCCACCAGACAGTACTATAGTGCCCCACCAGACAGTACTATAGTGCCCCACCAGACACTACTATAGTGCCCCACCAGACAGTGCTCTAGTGCCCCACCAGACAGTACTATAGTGCCCCACCAGACAGTACTATAGTGCCCCACCAGACAGTACTATAGTGTCCCACCAGACAATACTATAGTGCCCCACCAGACACCACTATAGTGCCCCACCAGACACCACTATAGTGCCCCACCAGACAGTACTATAGTGCCCCACCAGACACCACTATAATGCCCCACCAGACAGTACTATAGTGCCCCACCAGACACCACTATAGTGCCCCACCAGACAGTACTATAGTGCCCCACCAGACACCACTATAGTGCCCCACCAGACAGTACTATAGTGCCCCACCAGACACCACTATAGTGCCCCACCAGACACCACTATAGTGCCCCACCAGACACCACTATAGTGCCCCACCAGACAATACTACAGTGCCCCACCAGACACCACTATAGTGCCCCACCAGACACCACTACAGTGTCCCCACCAGACACCACTATAGTGCCCCACCAGACAGTACTATAGTGCCCCACCAGACAGTACTATAGTGTCATACCAGACACCACTATAGTGCCCCACCAGACACCACTATAGTGCCCCACCAGACAGTACTATAGTGCCCCACCAGACAGTACTATAGTGCCCCACCAGACACCACTATAGTGCCCCACCAGACACCACTATAGTGCCCCACCAGACACCACTATAGTGCCCCACCAGACAATACTATAGTGCCCCACCAGACACCACTATAGTGCCCCACCAGACACCACTACAGTGTCCCCACCAGACACCACTATAGTGCCCCACCAGACAGTACTATAGTGCCCCACCAAACAGTACTATAGTGCCCCATCAGACAGTACTATAGTGTCCCACCAGACAGTACTATAGTGTCCCACCAGACAGTACTATAGTGTCCCACCAGACAGTACTATAGTGCCCCACCAGACAATACTATAGTGCCCCACCAGACACCACTATAGTGCCCCACCAGACAATACTATACTGCCCCACCAGACACCACTATAGTGCCCCACCAGACACCACTACAGTGTCCCCACCAGACACCACTATAGTGCCCCACCAGACAGTACTATAGTGCCCCACCAGACAGTACTATAGTGCCCCATCAGACAGTACTATAGTGTCCCACCAGACAGTACTATAGTGTCCCACCAGACAGTACTATAGTGCCCCACCAGACAGTACTATAGTGCCCCATCAGACAGTACTATAGTGTCCCACCAGACAGTACTATAGTGTCCCACCAGACAGTACTATAGTGCCCCACCAAACAGTACTATAGTGCCCCACCAAACAGTACTATAGTGCCCCACCAGACAGTACTATAGTGTCCCACCAGACAGTACTATAGTGCCCCACCAGACAGTACTATAGTGCCCCATCAGACAGTACTATAGTGTCCCACCAGACAGTACTATAGTGTCCCACCAGACAGTACTATAGTGCCCCACCAGACAGTACTATAGTGTCCCATCAGACAGTACTATAGTGTCCCACCAGACAGTACTATAGTGTCCCACCAGACAGTACTATAGTGCCCCATCAGACAGTACTATAGTGTCCCACCAGTCAGTACTATAGTGCCCCACCAGACAGTACTATAGTGCCCCATCAGACAGTACTATAGTGCCCCACCAAACAGTACTATAGTGCCCCATCAGACAGTACTATAGTGTCCCACCAGACAGTACTATAGTGCCCCACCAGACAGTACTATAGTGCCCCATCAGACAGTACTATAGTGCCCCACCAGTCAGTACTATAGTGCCCCACCAGACAGTACTATAGTGCCCCATCAGACAGTACTATAGTGTCCCACCAGACAGTACAATAGTGTCCCACCAGACACCACTATAGTGCCCCACCAGACACCACTATAGTGCCCCACCAGACAGTACTATAGTGCCCCACCAGACAGTACTATAGTGCCATACCAGACACCACTATAGTGCCATACCAGACACCACTATAGTGCCCCACCAGACAGTACTATAGTGTCCCACCACACAGTACTATAGTGCCCCACCAGACACCACAATAGTGCCCCACCAGTCAGTACTATAGTGCCCCACCAGACACCACTATAGTGCCATACCAGACACCACTATAGTGCCCCACCAGACACCACTATAGTGCCCCACCAGACACCACAATAGTGCCCCACCAGTCAGTACTATAGTGCCCCACCAAACAGTACTATAGTGCCCCACCAGACACTACTGTAGTGCCCCACCAGACACTACTATAGTGTCCCACCAAACAGTACTATAGTGCCCCACCAGACACTACTATAGTGCCCCACAAAACAGTACTATAGTGCCCCACCAGACACTACTGTAGTGCCCCACCAGACACTACTATAGTGCCCCACCAGACACTACTATAGTGCCCCACCAAACAGTACTATAGTGCCCCACCAAACAGTACTATAGTGCCCCACCAGACACTACTATAGTGCCCCACCAAACAGTACTATAGTGCCCCACCAGACACTACTGTAGTGCCCCACCAGACACCACTATAGTGTCCCACCAAACAGTACTATAGTGCCCCACCAGACACTACTATAGTGCCCCACCAGACACCACTATAGTGTTCCACCAGACACCACTATAGTGCCCCACCAGACACCACTATAGTGCCCCACCAGACACCACTATAGTGCCCCACCAAACACCACTATAGTACCCCACCAGACACCACTATAGTGCCCCACCAGACACCACTATAGTGTTCCACCAGACACCACTATAGTGCCCCACCAGACACCACTATAGTGCCCCCACCAGACACCACTATAGTGCCCCACCAGACACTACTATAGTGCCCCACCAGACACCACTATAGTGCCCCACCAGACACCACTATAGTGACCCACCAGACACCACTATAGTGCCCCACCAGACACTACTATAGTGCCCCACCAGACACCACTATAGTGCCCCACCAGACACTACTATAGTGCCCCACCAGACACCACTATAGTGCCCCACCAGACACCACTATAGTGTTCCACCAGACACCACTATAGTGCCCCACCAGACACCACTATAGTGCCCCACCAGACACCACTATAGTGCCCCACCACACACCACTATAGTGCCCCACCACACACCACTATAGTGCCCCATCAGACACCACTATAGTGACCCACCAGACAGTACTATAGTGCCCCACCAGACACCACTATAGTGACCCACCAGACAGTACTATAGTGCCGCTCCAGACAGTACTATAGTGCCCCACCAAACACCACTATAGTGCCCCCACCAGACACCACTATAGTGACCCACCAGACAGTACTATAGTGCCCCACCCGACACCACTATAGT